CCCCCCCCGGCCAGCCAATGGGGAGGGCGCGGCGGCGCGGGGCGGCATGGGAAACGGAGTCCGCAGCGGGGCGGGGCCCGCGGCACGACGGGAAATGTGGTTTGGCGGGAACCTGAGGGGAGCCCCGGGGGGCAGCAGGGAGAGGGGGCTCTCCTCCGGGCGGGGGGGGGAGTTGCCCCCATGGCGGCGGGGCTGAGCCCCGGGCTGGCTCCCTCTGCCCAGGCTGCCGCCACTTGAGGGGAGCGTGAGGCCCCGAGGGAGCGGCCAAAGGGTTTGGGTAGAGCGGGGCCTCCCAACTGCTCCCGCCCAGGGTAGCCCTGCGCGGCGTCAGGGCTCTGCGAGGGCCACGCACCGCATGCGAGAGTCTTTCCCCTGCCTCTGGTGCCACGTCTCCCTGTCTGTTCTCCTTTTTGTGAAATAACGGTTGAATTGAGCAACTAACGGAGACGTCTGAGGCAACCGTCGGCGCCCGGACGAGAGAGCTCCGTTCTTCCTGTCCTAAAAGCACATGCACCTCGTGGCGCACGTTTCTGACCGCTTCACGAGGGACTCGCTCCAAAATGTTCTTCCTTTTTTGAACGCGAACGCCGTTTTCTCAGTGACACCGACACGGCAGCCAGAATACGGGTGGTGATAGAGGGTGCGCAGGAACGTGACGGGGAAGGCAGGCGTTTGCCTTAATTCTGAAATTGTTTGAGCAAATAATAACACACAGAGAGGTGAAAGCCCAACAGCTTCTGAAAAAACCCTCAAATTTCATCATTTCCTTGTGGAAATACATATTCTTACTTTGATGGGAGCCTAACAATTGCTATTGACCTTTAAAATACGTGATTAAAAATACAGAACAGGAAACCTGGAAATAATAAGTTTACTTTGATGCAGACTTATTTGTCCGCTGCCTCAGTGTTACGATTTGTGGAGATAAAGGCGAGGTCGCGCAGGGCTGGGGGCAGAAGGGGTGCCTACGAAGCGATCTCCAGAATCCTCTTCCCTAGATTAGTGGAATAAGAAGTGTCTGGCCCTTCAAATGCCGGTGAAATTGTTCGGAGGATTAGGATCAATTCTCGGAGGAAGAGCAAAGGGCCAGCAAATAGACTGGAGATGGGGATGAAGCAGGAAGGCAGTCAGGGTCTAAGAGGAAGGCTTGGCACAGCAGAAGTAAAGGCAACATTACAGAGCAGGTCAGAAACAGATTTTCCATCTAAGGAGGAATTAAACAATATACCTGAAAAAAAAAAAAAATCCCTTATTTTTTGCTATACAGGGAAAAATATGAACATCACGGTGTTTTGCTGTGGGGATGCTGCTGTTCTGCTTCATGGATGTGGTGCTGATTTTTCTTCCGCTCTCTTTCCATCTGCAAAACCAATTTCTGCTTTTAGGCTAATTCACCACTGACCCCCTTCACTGAATCGCAAATCTCCTGCAGTTTCGGGTAGAAAAGGGGCAGAGAAGGGGCCCGGCGCAGAGCCTGCCGCAAGTACAATACCTCTGGTCGTGTCCAGAGCACTTATCCCACCGCAGCTGGCCGTTCGGTGGGTGAGAGGCTCCGTGAGCCGTCACCCGGGCAGGGAGCTTGTGCCGTCCCCCGCGTCTTGTGCTGTCTTGCCGTCACTCTGCCTGGCCTCAGACCGCCCGCTGCCTTACAGCCTCAGCCCCTTGGCCGCGTTTTCTTGAAGGGAAGCCCCGTGGCATCACTCGGGTTATGTGGGAAGAGGTGAACCGTGCTTTACCGGAGCTTTAACCTGCCGTGGGAGCAGACGCTGTAACACACAGCCCGAAACAGCATGCTAAGCGCACGTATGTACCCCTCGCGCCGGCACGAGGAAGGAGCTTCTACCAGAACAGAAAAGTGACTTTTTCTCATTTCTTGTTCCTTTTCCCTTAGAGATACTGTTAAAATCAAGTTGTTCCTGCGCTGCACCAACCTGCTCCCTCAGGGTTACAGGCTGCTGGCAGCCAGCATCGCCTCTCCTTTTGCCCTCTCCCTGCCTTCTTGCGTGCAAGCATGAAAACGCGACTCTCCCCAGGAACGGGTAGATGATGAGCAAAGATCTGGTCCAACAACAAATCCTGCTTACTGCAGCGTACCCACTGCTGTCCTTGCACCGCGTCCTCAGAGTTAATGGCTTGCTTACTTTAATTAAACCCGTCTGCAGTGCAGACTGGGGAGCACTTGCTGCCTGCTGGCCCAGCTGTGTGACCAGGGCAGGGTTTCACGTGGCTTAAACCTCCTTTTGACCCCCCCAGCACAGCCACAGCGCTCGCAGCTACATTTTACCGCTGCCCTTCTTATCCCTCCGCTTGTCGTACGATGTCGATCTTTATCCTGAAGAACAGCACGTCATTCGGGTTTGCTTTCCTCTAGGCAGGGTCTAACACCGCTTGGAGCCCTAACACTTGTCTTAAAAGGAAAAATAAAATCATTTTGCTGTGACTAATGCTTTACAAGGCAACTCTTCCTTTTCTAAAGGTTTCATCCTGTACTTCACAACGCAGCAAAATCTCTCCAATAAATATGGATGATAACCCAAATCTCTCTGTCTCTACACAAGGGAAATCCCCCTCCCTCCCATTACAGCTAGAGCCAGATAATTGATACAATCCCTAATGTTGACACACTAAATGTTTTGTAACAACAGAGGGGAGAGAATCTGTTTATCTAAAACCACATTTGGAGTGACATAAGACTATCACTTCTTTGGTTAAATACCAGAAAGAATATCAATTCTTTGGCTGATATCAGTCTAACCAGATCCATTTAGACTGACAACTCGCATTTCCCTGGTTTGGGGAAGAAGGAGGGGGGGGTTTGCTTCCCCAGATCGACGACTGTTAAGTCAACACTGACATTTCTTTCCATTGGGGGGGGGGAGGAACAAGCACCCCAGACATCGAGCAAACTCCTCTAGAAACCGAGGGAGATTTGGGGGTCTCAGACGGCCACCCCACACGTGACAGCTGGCTGCGGGGCTGGGCCGCCTGCTGGCTCAGGGAGAAAGTCACAGGAACATTTCTTGTCGGCTTCCATCTGTAAAGCCAGATTTTAAGAAAACTTGCGGCGGGCAGCAAAACTCAGGCTTCGAACAACAAACCCAGCCAGTTCTTCCTGCAGGGACGGGAATTACTTGCATCAGTCCCGAGCCTGTGCTTAAGCTTTCAAGCAGGCAGAGACACCCGATATAATCACGTACGGCAGTTTTAGCAGGACTAAGGTCTTAAAATCCTTCTCTTTTTTTTTTTCCTGACTTGATGGATTCTGTTTCCCCCAGCCTCCCAATGACTGCTGCTCCGCTCTATCCCCTGTGCCTCTGCAGCCAGGGGAAGCCCACGCTAGCCCAGTCATTTCAGGCTGTCTTTTCTTAGGATAGTCTTTCAGAGGGTCACACAGTTCAGCACCCTGATCCTGCGAAGCGGCGTGCCTAACATTTCCCCCCCCAGCCCATCCAGGCTTTCAGGGCTAACATGATCCCCCCAGACAGGTCCTGAGCTCGATAACGGCCTGCGATCCAGCTGGACGAAAAATAAACCAGGATTAGAGCTGACGAAACTCTTCTGTTGGAGCAGCAAAGTCATTTCCCGAAGCTTAAAGGGAGTTAATTTTTTTGACGGAAAAGGCACGAATGAAGAAAGCAGCGGGCCTTGAGAAGGAAAACAGCTGAGTGGTAAAACAGGTGGGTGGGATTAGGGCAGAGGAGCTGGAGGCGAAGGTCTCGGCTGGGGATCAGTCCTGTGCCAAGCAAGGTCTGCTGCACGGCGGGGGAGAAACGCAAGTGCTTTATGCCCACGAAGAGCGGGTAGAAGCTGCTCGTTCCTGTGAGCAGCGGTGCCGAGGAAGCCGGGTTTCCTCACCAGGCACCCTGAGGCTGAACTCCCCCCTGCGTCTACCACGCAGCACGAGCTCTCCTTTCTTCTTCCTCCAGCACACTGCAGTGGGGTCTCTCTCCTCTACTCAGCTGCTGATTTTCCACAAATCCTCAGGAATGCAGTAATAACCTTTACCCTCTGGCTACGCAGGGGCAAAGTCAACAGTGAGCAGTAAGGGAGCTGCAGGCAGATCCGATCCCCCAGGGCAGCGTGGCCACCCGAGCCAAGCTCCTGCGGTCGCTCAGCACGCAACACGACTGTAAGGCACACGCAAAGAAAGCCAAGAGGAGCTTACACCCCCTCAGGTGCACCGATCAACTGAGGCAGGGGCAATATTCGGAGAGGAACTCAAGGTAACCCTGCAGCACCACCACCCCCCCGCAGCCACCGCGGCGGCGGGTGCTTGGGGACTGTTAACGACGCTGGAAAAGCTGCCGGAGAAGTTGGACACCGTCATCCCACTTCAGAAAATAAACAGATAAATGTCACTCACTGTCCAAGCGCTATCAGCACAGACGCTGTTGTCAATAAATCAGAAGTATCTAGGAACAGCTTGAACAACTTTTATTTTTTTTTTAAAGTGCTTAAAACGTAAATAACAAGCTCTTTATAAACATTAGTTGCAACTATTAAAACACGAAACACACAGAACCCACTTCCTGCGAACGTGAAGTACAGGGAAATCAACAACTCCGAAAACCCTGACGCTTCTCTCTCCCGTTTTGGGATGTTTTTCCACCCCACGTTTATAACACGAAACACACGGCGGTTTCTTCACAGACAAGTCATAAGGCTGAGTCTACGTGACACTTCAGTATCCGCATCCCTTCAGGTTTAGTTCCAGTTTAAGGATATACCTTGGCGGTTCTTCTGGCCCATGACTCTGGGCCAGAAGGGCCAGTCAAGGCAAAAATAAATCACTTGGCCAGAGTTCTTAAAAAGCAAGAAACCCAGTTGTGGGCTGACAACAAAAGCAGAGCACAGCTGTGAGGAACAGCACCCTGCGGAAGACCTTGTGAAACAGCTCGAGCACTGAAAGAGAAAGACAAGACCAGGAGGCAAAAGAAAAATCCAGAGTAATTGTTATGGCCGTGTTTAAAACGGAACCAGTGAAAAGCTGCTGCTGGCCCATCAAAACCCTTTCGTCTGCTTGGTTCAGCAAAGAGCGACAGACCTCGGAGTGTTACCCTGCACACTGACCAGAAGTGCTGCTCGCCTCCCTATTTTTGCAAATAAATCGCTAAATATGGAGATTCGGGACATGAGCAACTTGAGAACGTTTCCCCCGCTTCTTTTTCTCATCCCCCCCTCTACGAGAAAACATCTAGGTCCTCAAAACCATTTCCCATTGGTAACTTAGAGGTTTTAACAAAAAAATTATGCAGACTCCGGCTTCAGTGCTGTTGTGTGGCGTAGCGAAACTTGCTTGCTCTTATTCAGAGAATAAAAACTGTGTGGTGGGGGAAAAAACCCCACACTTGCAGGACAGCGGGGTGGAGAAACAGAGAACGAAGACAGAAGCATCTTTAAGATGCCTTTTCCTAAGCACAAGTCGTCATTTGTAGAGAGCTCTGGACTTCTGAACGCTCGAGGACAGACACGAAACATCAGGGCAGCCTTGGCTGTCCTCACCGCTTGTTTTTTTTCCATAGCCCCCCGTCTCATGTGCGATGCCAAGGTACCCGTGCCGTACCCCTGCCTCAGCCTTTGGAGATGCTCTGCTATCGCAAAGTCAAGGCGAGAACATTTTAGCCCTGCTTGCTCCAGCCTCCTCCGAGACGGCACGGGCTCCTGCGGTGGAAGGCATTTCGGGGACTGTGGTGCGCCGCTGCAACGGAGGCAGGACACGGGAGGAAGCACGTATTGCTGAAAAGGCCGTACACCCGATACAGCCTGCTGTAGCTCTGAGATTAACTTGAATATATAAAGTGCAAAACATTCAAGCTTTGGAGAGAAAAAAAAGGCAGAGCTGACTAAGGCAGAGGGGGGATTAGGGAGGCGGTGAAACGCGATGGAAGGGAGGGGGAGAAGGCAGGGAGGAGGTGCAGCAAGATCCTTATAAACATTGGCACTTGTGTGTGGGGAGCACCTACGACGCCGATCGGTGACGGGGGAGAAGTCCCAGGAAGCAGCTATTTTTCAGGGAGCGGAGAGCCAGCGTGAGCCACTGGCCTTCGTGTGAGATTTCAGCTCTACGCCTCCCCCTTACTAATGCCCGCTTGACATAAGCCTTCACCGCTCAGCATCCCCACCGGTCAGCAGGGCTGCCCCTTCTCCCGGCCCTCCTGCCCGCGCCACGCCGCTCTTCTGACGCTGGACTGCTTTCTGGCTGTCCACAACTCCTCCCTGCCTGCTTTCAGATAAAAGGGAGGGCTTCTCCACGAGAGATATCCACCCAGAAAAGGAACGCTGCTCTCAGGCCATAGGATCTTTTGATTATACAGGCAGAGAGATGTTTCTGGTACTGTTCTATAAGGAGAGAGAAACACCTTCCCTCAGACCCTCACATTGTACACCAGAAACAAAGTCCCTGCACCTGAGACACACAGAGGGAGGAGGAACATGAAGACGCAAGTAGAGAAGTGCGAAACCCCAGATTACTTCCTACGAGGGGCGAAGGCAGGTAGGAACTAAAGGCTCGTAGCCAGTATCTTCCCAGGTGACAAATCCTCCTTCTCCTGTGATGGTCTACAGGCTAGATATGACCAAACGTTGTCAGTGACAGCAACGCCAAATCTCCTCTTCACCTGATACCTCTTACTCTGACAGCCTACTTTCTCCAACCTCAGACTTCGAGCATGACCCAATATTGTCTTTATCCGGCCATATTTTGTCTTGGAACATTTGGCCTGCTCTTCCTCCAGTGTCATCTCTTAATATCTCTGCCTCCCGTGTCACGTGAGCTGCCCGTGCAGCACTCCTGCCAAAGACCAAAAGCAACCTGCACACACGGGGATGGGAAGGCTCTGCTGTCTGCGTTTAAAAATAACCCTAGTTCAGATTAGCAGGCAAACGGAAGAGAAAGCTGCCCAAGATGGGCTGCGCTGAACTGAGAATTGGATTTCAGAGCCTTTTTTGGTAGGAAACTGCTATCATCCTATTGCAAAAGGCACGATTTTTCAAAGTCATGGTATACAATACGAAGGTTTTAAAAGAATCCAGTAACTTTGGGAGATGTACAGGAGAGAGAAGATGCCTTACATGTCAAGACAGCTCAAGTCCCACGCCAACCGACCCTCCGCCCGCACGGGCACCTTCTCTAGTCAAAATCCTGGCAGAACGAGAGGGAGCAACATCCTTTCTGTATCCTTCCACAGCATCTCCAAATCAAAAGCTGCGCTGTACTCCGGTGTGGCCAGGAGCATCGCTCACCAGCCTCAGGCTAACACTATCCACGGTTGTTAAACCGCATAAATCAGAGGCCTTTGGACGGTCACTCAACAGTTAGCAGCAAGAAGCATTCAACTCCCGAGAGAGGTGGCCTACAATGCCTAAGGGTGGGCCCAAGCCGCCAGAGAGCTGACGCTGGCATGTGTATGTGATACGATTCAAGCGGTGTTTGGCACTAATACTGGCTTGAAGGGGGTCTACGACGATTACTGAATTGCTAGCTTTGACAGAGAGTGTTTGACAGCTGCCTGACCTAGCAGGATGTCATGCATAGAGGTGGCCAGGCGGTCAGACCTCCTTCTCTGCACACGAGCTTCGGTCCCAATGGCATTTTCCTGTTGCATTGAGAAAGATGACAGAAAGTCAATGGTGGGGGGGACAGCCAGTGGAAAGCAATTCCTGTGGACGCAGGAAAGAGGGAGTGTAATACTGAGTAGAAAATTCAGCTGTGGTTTATACATACAGGAGTCCCCCCCAGGGCACACTGGTGCCAGCCAGCCCGGTGACAGGTTGGGTGGCGTGCGAGAAGGTCTCCTGCAGTACTGATGGTGCACAAACCATCACTGGCCCTTCTCCCGTATTGCAAGTTCAGTTTTGAGCTGGGTAACTGAGGCAGCATCGAGACTATGCATGCACACAGCGAAGGAATCGGCACCGCTCACAATCAGGCAGTGACGTCGGCTTGAGTCCTTTACGGCCTCCGACCCCGGCGCTGTCGCTTTGTGTAGCATCTCCCATACGGTCAGATACTGGCACAACTTGGAGCTGGCTCTTCAGACGAAGACTCTTCATTTGGGGGTACAACATATGGGGCAGGAAGGGAAAGAGGCATCCAACAGTAGCCCCTTCCCCTAGCTGCCCTGCCGAGCAGGCTCAGGGGACAGTAACTCGGTGGTAGACCCGTACTGAGTTTAAGCATCACCGATGTCATCAACCAATTTAACATCATCCATCAGCCAGGGTACACCACTTCAGAGAAAAGAGATGTGGAGCGTGGGCAGAAGAGCAGCAGTAGCAGGATGAAGCCATGGGCGAGGAGGTTGGTTTCCAGCTCTCAAATGTCCATGGACCACTTAAAGCATTGGCAGGATGAGTGCCTGAGAAGAGGCCACTTGGTCACAACAACAGGAACCTAAGAAGGCCTCTGCCTCGTGTGGAAGGCTCTGCTCCTCCCCACAGGGTGGATGACAACCCGCCACCCTATAGTTCCCTGGAGCCAGAGCTGGGATAAGCTTGGGCTGGGAAGGAGCAGATAACCTTTCCTGCTAAACTCTGCGAACAGAAGCCACTGGAGCCCTCTTGTAAGAGCAGGGGGGAGTGCAGGGATGTTTGCAGCCTGTTTATTGGAGAAGTGCTCTAGGCAAGTGATGCTGGTCTCTGGAGAGAGGTTACTTGGTCTTGCTTTCCCCCAGCGGGATCTGGAGGAGCGTGGGAGACTGTTCCATGATGCGCACCAGCAGCTGGTCAATGTAGTTCTCCAGTTCATGGATGTGCTCCTCCTTCTTGCTCAGCTCCTTCTCTCTCTGCAGCAGGAGCTGGATGAGTTCATCGTGGGTCAAGTGATAATACTTAGCTGACTGGTCCAGTACGGTGGGATCCTGTGGTAGAAACCAAGAGGAACATTCAGTGAGTCAAATGAAAACCACTGCTCCCTTTAGTGTTTGCAAGATGCAGCAACAACCAAAGCAATCAATGTTTTCTCTGTCTGCCTTCTTTCCAAATCTGACCTGATGGGCTGGAGACATTGTGCAGCTATCATGTTGTGTCTTTACAAAGCAGCTTTCCCACGTGCCATGCAGTCGCCCAAAAATACTGGAGACAGAACAACTGCCCAGACATCCAGGCCAATGCAGCCCTCTCCATACGGCTCGAGGTGACTGCTAAGCACTTCCACCGGCTGAGTGAATCATTTAACAGGGTTTCCCCAAAGACTGTGTCAAACCTCTTTCCCCCAACAGTTAGAAGCTAAGGGCGTAGGCACAATGGAGCCCATTAGCCTGGCATAATGAGGCCTGGCATTAGCTACTCCCCCTCTCTGGGGCTTCCCAGTCCTCCAGCAGCAGGCCTGGATGATGGCAGGAGAAGAGAATTAAGAGCCAAAAGACCCCTCAGGAGCTCCCAGAGGACGAGGTGAACCCCAGCAGCAGCATTTTACATGTCAAGTTGGGGAGGCAAACAGAGCAGCAGGGAAGGAGAAGGCAACCCCGTAAGACTGTGCCCTCAGACACATCACACAGGTATTCCGCTTGCCTCAACATGCCAGCATTTAAAATACAGCCAGGCAAGCAACATTTGAGCAAGGCTCCAGGAAGCACCTTCCCTCTGCCTCTGTCAGCAGAAAAAAACCCTTCAGGCCTTCAATCAGGCAGCTATCACATCCTCCATCTTTCATGTCTTGCAGATAACCAGGCATTCGCTCACACACTGTACAATAAAAATCCCAAACCGAAGCAAGCAGTGGGAGAAGAACGATGGGGTGAGAAGGTCCAGAGGCCAGGTCATGGAGGGAAGCCAGTGGGAGGCTGGGCAACCAGGAGCAAGGATATCAGGGTTAATACACATGGTTCCGCTCACACTGTGGCAGGACGCCGTTCTACCTCCTCCAACACCAGTTTTCTACACCTCTGTCTCCAAATATAGAACATCTCAAGCAGGTGGGAACGCAGCTCTCACCTCAGTAGCAGGTTCCTACCTTTAACTTCTTTGAGTCTGTTTTCTCCAGGTGAGAGGATGGGGCCACAGGCTGGACGCTGCTCGTGGTGACTGTCTTCAGCTTCTCTAGGCCGTTGCTCAGAGCGGTCGTCAGGCTGGACCTGTGCTGCTGCTTCTTCTCGCTGGAGACCTCTTGCACCGCAGTGCTGATGGGTTTCACTGGGTGAGGACTAAGGAGAACAAGGAGGTTGGACAGTTAACACCCTGCCAAGCTGGGGAGTGACGCGGCTGGCTCTCCCTATGGTTTTTATGGGGATGGGACCCACTTATCAAATTTAGTCAGCTCCACACAGCTAAATCCTCTGTGCCTGTGTTGCTCAAAGCTCACCTGCTCCAAGAAGAGAGAGGAGAGCCAGCGTCCTGCAGAGTAGGCAGCCCACAGCGCTTTCCAGCACTGTTTCCACCCAGAGACGAGATAAGGAGCCCCAGGACACGTGTTCGGCCGAGATACAGAACAGGTCCCCGGTGCCCACACCTATGCAGCTCAGTCCACACTGAGAGGGCTGTGGGTCGAAGCTCCCGGCTGCCAGGTGTTGGCACAGCTGGGGGAAATTTAACCCGGGTCCAATGTAATTGGGGTCGCTACATCCACTGCCCGGAGGGGCATATTGCTGCCCAGGAGCCCCCAGATTAGTGTCTGGGGTTACCACTGACGCTTCAGGGATGCTCCTGGCCCACTGTGCATCAGTTCCTGCACTGCCTCAGCCCAAGAGCTGGGCTCCACCTGCCTGGAAGACACCACAGAGTTTGTGCCCCTCCACTAGCCAAAAGGGAAGGCGAGGAGATGGTATCTGAATGCACCTTCTCTGTCACTTAAGGAGGAATTACATTTTCATTTATTTTTGCCTCACTCTCCACCCGAAAGATTGTTTCTGGGCTTAAACAAAGTGAGTTTGCTTTTCAGCGTGATGGAAAGAGAAGTGACCTGATGCTACCTTCCTGCAAGGAACAGGCAGACCTGTGCACCATACTCGGGATGCAAAGATCGTAAAATCTACTCAGGAGCTCTGCAAAGCCTCTGCACTCATCAGATGCAGCAGCCACCCTGCAAAGGGTGATAATCCCAACTGCTGTGCGTCCAAACGACACTGCAGGGGAAGGGGCACACCTTGCTCACAGGAGCTCTCAAGCAAGGCAGGCAAGCGCAGTCTCTCTTTACAAATGGGGACCTCAGGGTGTTGGTAGGACGGGTTGTGAGAGGAGGAATAACACCCACAGTCACCGTGTGAGCTGTTAGCCGGGCTGCGACAGACCCCTCTCAAGTCCAGCTCGTGCTGTAACCGCTCGACTGTGCTTTACTTCCGTTTCGAAAGCAGAGCAGGTGGCTTTCAACCCTGCTCCAGGTCAGAGATGATGGGTGAGGCTGGGACAAAGGTAGCATGACATAAGGCATCAGGTGGATGGCCCAAGTCCTCAAGGCTGGTGTCCTCGTGCCTTGTCAGTGGTGACGGGATCAGGATGTACCAAGCAATCTCCCCGTTGTGCTGACAGGGCACGTCTAGAAGTCCTCTTCAACCACGATGATGCCTCCTGTCATCCATTTGCTAGGAGAGGACAGCAATGGTAGCCACTGACCAGCTCCAACAAGCCAAAGAATCAACAACCCTTGTCAGAGCTGTCCAAGCACGTGGACAGAGGCAAGGGTTCCCGGACAGCTTGAAAGGATGGAGAGGGATCCCACAAATCTGAGTGGGAGTCCACTGACAGCGCCAGGGGTTGGAGAAGTTGCCGTTCTGCACGTCAGCCTCAAGCACTCTCCACCCTGGACTAAACCCTTCACCAGCAGAGCTGCAAACACCATGATGCCACATTACAAGCGATCCAGCAGTTGTCCATTTGTTATGACGTAAGATGGGGTGAGGGTGGACCGGACCAGAGGCCATGCACAGATCCTGAAAAATTGCTCATTCCCAAGTCCTTTAAAAAACAGAAGTAATGACTTTGCTTGCTTGAACTGCTGCTAGCCTCCTTCCTAGCCCCAAATGAGTGGGGTTCACTGCAGGGATATGGGGAAGACAGCTCTACTACCACTGTAGGACTTCTACCGTTCTTCAAAACACAGTGTCTGGGAAGGAGAGCGGCTGGGGAGCCACCAGGACTGCTCATCACAGCCAGATCTGAAGATAAGCAGCCCCAAATGCCACCGTCGCCTCATGCATCCCCACAGCCAGTGCAGAGACTAAGACCAGAGTATGGAACAGAACATTGGAATTGTTGGAGTATTGGAACAGGCTGCCCAGGG